ACAAATTCGATTCCGCAGTCTGTTTCTCGAAATTCAAACACGAAGGCCTAGAAATTGCCGGTCAAACCCGTTGACTTTGATTTTTACCGAAGATTCCAAATTTTCGAAAAGCCATATTTTATGCTTTCGACGTTCTGAATCCAAATTCGAAGTCGGTTTTGCCAAATTCGAACCCGATAAGCTGTTTTTGACTGATTTATCATCTGATTCGATCCGTTTTTCATAATTAAACTCCGTTTTTGATGTAATTTCTGTTTATATGGATCCAAGGAAATATTGGAAGTTGAATTTAAGGTCAAAGGTGTTCGAATGGAATTTTTATGGTCGATCAATATTGCACGGAAATCGAGGTAATACTTTACTACCTCTTTATGCTTTATTGAACATGTTTATATTGATAAATGCTTGAACAAGATAATGTTGGTCACTTTGATGGAGTTGAATAATTTATACACTTGATATGATGTGGTAGAAATTCTGTAACTGATTACGGATCTAATGACTAATATAAGAGATTGAGAAATTGTTAGATTAAATTACAAGTTTGTGATTAGTGATAAAGAAATCAGCCCTGTATCTGCAACTTATAATTTATTTCATCAAAGGTTAAATGTTAAAGGTACTTGGATGAGAAATTATGAGAATACTCTGGTAGGGTAAAATTATGAAAATACCCTTATGTTATAAAAAGACAAGATTTGAATATGGAAGTTAGATAAGAGGATTTTACAGACATATTGATCTGATAAAATATTGATGTGCATAAGAAATGTTAGTTTTATTTGGAAATTATGGATAACCGGTTTTTAATCCTATGAGAGTTTGTGAAGAGTACTAGAAGTTTGTTAAGAGAACCGTTTCAAGTTCAAAGAGTATTCAAGAAAGCAATTAATCATAGGATCTCTAAATTATATTATTTTCGTTAAGAGCTAATATCGAAATTATCTGGTTAAGAAATTATGGAAATGCCTTTAAGAGGTAGAATAGTCTGAGTTGACTCTGAATGGGAAAATACTTAGGGGATTCATACTTAACTCGATTAAGTACGGATTTAATTGTTAAGATCTGACTTAGTGCAGGAAAATTCCTAATATTCCGTTTGTAAAATCTGAGAAGACACTTGACCCGTAAATATTAGAATAATGAGTAAATACTTGAAGAATAATTTATCGGGGGTATTCTGCTGCCAGAATTGTTCAAAAGGATTGAAGTAAATGATAAGATTGAATTAAATAATAAGACCGGATGGCAGCAAAAGATTGAAATACCGTAGATCTGTAAAATGACCAAAATACCCATGTAATGGAAATGACCCAATAATATCACCAAGCTCAGGAATGATTGGATATCCTCGAGCTCTGAAATAAATGGAATAAAACTGAACATCAAAATTACCAAAATAACCTTATGGCCTAAACTAAGTAAATACCTTGGATTAATTAAGGAATCCAAATAAGCATAAGTATTGGACTACCTTTAAAAGTTATGGAACATAACTTAAGTGAGCTGATCAACCTTAATAATATGTTAGTACCTGAACGACATAGATATTACTTGAATACATGTTCGTCTACTCAAGTTTAGCTCAATGATAATTTTGGAAGTATTCAGCTCAGCTCAACTCTAGATTGCATTCGGTACTAAGAATTGGATATTTGTTCGACAAATCAACCACGAAGACCAAACTGAACTGAACGAAAGTACAATATGTATCTGAAATTCAGAAACGTACGGAATTACTCTGGATAATCCCGAAGTAACTGTAATAGACTTGAATGCTAAATGAACTAAGTAACCTCAAGCACTAAGGATTAAGTAAGTGATGTGAATGAGTCTGGAAACGTTAATGAACATACACAATGTACTGTTCTTCTAGATCATGAACTACAAATCAAGCACGTCAGTATTTCATGATATATTGGAAGCGTAAAAATAAAATAAAGACATTGGAAGATCTATTCAGTGATGATTCTGAAAAATGATCTATGGACAAGAGTTTGTGGTATTAAAGAGTAAATACCCTGGAAGAACAATGAATTGATCAATCGACAAGCATTATTTTGGAGCTATTCATTTAAGAGTTGTTTGATAATTCGATCAATCGACATAGATTGTAAATGTCCTGTATCTTCATTTCTTCCTTACAGCTCAAGTCATATTCTGAATAATTGATGATTTTGTCAGTTATTGAACTCTTCCAATAGTGATTCTGAATTTCGATATTCTATCGGCATACTGAATAACTGTGTTTCTCTGCCTGATACAGTACCTCTAAATAATACCTGTAAACTTCGGTGTGTTCCCTAATTATATAAATATTTTATCTGATTTCCGAATTGAATTCTGTTCTGATACGTTACCTGAATTCTGTTCTGATTCTGATCTGGATTCTATTCTGATATCTGATATGAATTCTGTTTTGATTTCGGATATCTCCGTTTACCGACGGAGAAATGTTTTATCTGGGGGTTTATTGTTGGAGGAAGATTACTGCAGGCTCCTCGGCTGTGTGCTCAGGGCCTTACTGTTACTGGTTGTGCGGGTGTATGGTTCCGGGGAACCTACACAAACAGATTGTGAAAGGATGGGGGTGTATATATATATGCTTTAAAAAATATATATATATATATATATATATATATATATATATATTATATTATATATATATATTTTATGGAACACACTAGATAACCTATTCTGATCTCCTGAACTCAGTCATCCGAAATATTTGTCTGAACTGAAAGCTCATTGTCCGTTACCATATGAATATCAGTAGAATCTCTGCTCAGCATAAAAATCTATAAATGTCAGAAATAATAAGGATATGTATGTTTATCTGTATCTACACGTTCTTCACCTTATCTGTAGTTCTGTATACTGAGCTTTTCAAAGCCCACTCTATTACTCACCTTTTCAGGTTAAAGAATGTACCAATGCATCTATCACTTCAGTAAGGGAGTTTTTCCGGCGTTATTGCAGAGGGGTACATGTCTGTATCTACACGTTCTTCAGCATTATCTGGTAGTTCTGTATTACTGAGCTTTTCAAAGCCCACTCTATTACTCACCTTTTCAGGTTAAAAGAATTGTACCAATGCATCTATCAACTTCAGTAAGGGAGTTTTTCCGGCGTTATTGCAGAGTATGGTACATGTGATTAGGGGCATGTAATTGTATTTGATTTATATACGAGTCTGGAAATCTGTTTTATTTTAAATAGTGACAACTGATTTTATTAGTTTACATGTAATTTAAAAAGTTTTAAAATTTCCACTATTTTTACAGTGGGTCGCTCCGGTGGCCCAAATGTGACACCCCGGATCGGATCTGGTTACCCTTATCGGTCTGTGGGGGTTACAATATTTATTATTTAATATGTTTTACCTTAAATATTATGTTGTAGTTAATTTGAATCAATTTTGTTTCACTTGATTTTATGGTTTTAACTTATATATGTTATGACTTGCTTTGAATATGACTTGTGATATAAAAAATTATTTTTTATTAAATATTTTTGGTATTTTTATTTAATTTTTTAAATAATTATGACGTCGTCCTTTTCTTCCGACTGATTCGATTGGTTGAACTAATGAACCGATAGCATAACCGGTTCGCTAACCGATCCGATTTTGAAAACCATGTTAAAGAACAGCAGAAAAAGCAATTAAAAGATATCTGCACGCTTAGAACTTTATATATATATATTATATGATTTACATGATTAAGCTATAGCCCCAAATATAATTATTCTGCCGACCGATCATTTGGCAGTACGTTTGTAAGATGATATTTAATTTTGTAATGCATGATGGTCCAGCAACGTAACGACCAACAGCAACCATACGTCAAGAAAAGGCCGCTTCCATTTCTGACATATGGATCGGCAACTAGCTAGCCTACGGTAAGCGACGGATCATAAAATATAATTTATTTTCATTTATTATTTATATTATTGATTGATTTTATTTTTATTTTTATGAATAAGATATTTGGCAGAAAGTAGTCTAAAATTTAACTGCACAATAATATGTTTCTGACAACCGATTAATTGAATGATTTGTTTGTAATTTTTATAATTGTGTGATTTATTTGTAATTTGACCAATAATGGAGTGACATTTGATATAGGTTACCTTAATTATTAATTAATGAACGATGGAAAGACCGAATACGACGAACCTTAAAGTCAAAAAATGCAGAGTTGCTAACACTTGCGAAAATGAGTCACGGTGTCAACTAAATTTTACCAAACTAGTACAGAACTTTGAAATTGGTGACATATTTTCAGACATCATTACTATTAAGTCTATCATGCATTGTTTTTCAACAAGTAGTTGTCTTAGCCTTGCTTTGAAGGCAATTTGTCAACCTCACGAGTCTTGAGAAGAAAATCTAAGGAATGGTCATTTAATTTAAAGTTAAAAAATGATAATTTTAGATATGATTAAAAATATGATAATATATTATTTAACCTAAATTTTTGGGAAAAAATTGTTAATTAATATTTTAAAAAACAACCTAACCATTAAAATTAGGGTAGTTATGCTTCTATAAGTATTGAAGTTTAATTTAATGCGATTTTTAACCTAAAATATTATTCGATTCAATTTTAAAAGTTATATAATTTGTAGCATTTTTATTTACAATAAAAAATTACACTACAATGAGTTTTTGATTTATAACCGAAAAAGTTATATAATTTGTACTATTTTCGATTTCAACTTAAAATATTATAAAAATAATATTTTATTTTAATTTAAAATATTATATTTTTAATAATAATTTTTTTATTACAATCAATTAATATTAACTAGTCATGTTTTAGACTTTCCCTTAAAATCAAAGAGCTTAGTATACAAATTATGATAACCAAATAGAATTGATTTGAACATGTAGTATACAATGGATTAGATACAAGATGGATTTTGAATATAAAACATCTCGGTCTGAGTCAGACCGCTTCGTCCTCAATCTTCCATAAAAATCAACCCCTAAGCTCACCGATTCAGCCATAATAAGAAGCAATGTTTCTGGTTGTATTGCTGTCTCTGTTTCTTAATGCTTTTGCTTTAAACCAGGAAGGTCTCTTTCTCCAGCGAGTCAAGCAAACTCTCGCCGATCCCACCAACGCCCTCTCCGACTGGGACCAACGAGACCCAACCCCATGCGATTGGCTCGGCGTCTCCTGCGACTCCGTCACCCGCCGAGTCCACTCGCTCAACCTCTCTCACCTCCAACTCGCCGGCCCTTTCCCTCTTTTCCTCTGCCGCCTGCCTTCTCTTCGCTCCATCTCTCTCGCCAACAACTCCATCAGCTCATTCCTGCCTCTCGAGATATCCACGTGTCAGAACCTCACCACTCTTGACCTCTCGCTCAACCTCATTGCCGGCCCCCTTCCTCACTCACTCCCTGAAATTCCCACGCTCCGGAATCTGAACCTGGTGATGAATAACTTCTCCGGCGAAATTCCCGCCAGTTTTGCGCAATTCCAAAGCCTCCAGTTCTTGGGTTTGGCGGGAAACTTACTCAACGGCACCATTCCTTCGTTCCTGTCAAATATTTCAACTCTCAGAGAACTCGACCTCGCTTATAACACCTTTTCGCCCAGTTTTATACCGAGCCAATTTGGTAATCTAACCAATCTTGAGCAGCTCTTTCTCGCTAACTGTAACCTGGTGGGTCAGATTCCGTCGAGTTTGGGTTGGTTGACTCGGCTTCGCAACCTTGATTTATCCACTAACCGTCTCTCAGGGTCGATCCCCAGTTCGATTTCCGAGTTGAAAAGCATTGAGCAGATTGAGATATATAGAAACTCTTTATCTGGTGTATTGCCGTTATCCATGGGGAATATGACCACGCTTAAGCGATTCGACGCCTCTACGAACGAGTTAACCGGGACGATTCCGACTGGGTTATGCGGGTTACAGCTTGAGTCGTTGAATCTTTTTGAGAACCGGCTTGAAGGGACTTTGCCGGAGAGCATAACAAGCTCAAAATACTTACACGAGCTTAAATTGTACAACAACAATCTCAGCGGGACTTTGCCGAGTCAACTTGGTGAAAACTCGCCCTTGAAAAGTCTGGATTTGTCTTATAACCAGTTCTCTGGTGAAATCCCAGAGAGTTTGTGCGCAAAGGGGAAGCTAGAGAATATTCTTCTAATTAACAATTCGTTTTCTGGGAAAATCCCGGAAAGTATAGGAAAATGTCATAGCATGGGTCGGATTCGGTTCAAGCATAACCTTTTCTCTGGTCAAGTCCCAGACGGAATATGGGGACTACCCAGAGTGTTCTTGCTGGAGCTAGCAGAAAATTCTTTTAGTGGGCAAATTTCAAAGATGATTTCAACTGCACATAACCTCTCAGTTCTGTCAATCTCCAACAACCAGTTTTCTGGATCGTTACCTGATGAAATTGGGTCATTGGGGGCACTGGTTGAGATATCTGCTAGTGGAAACGGATTCACAGGCCGGATTCCTGAATCTTTGGTGAAACTTAGGCAGTTGGTTAGGGTTGACCTTAGTGGAAATAAGTTCGAAGGACGGATTCCGGATGGAATTAACGGATGGGTGAATCTGAATGAGTTAAATTTGGCTAACAACAAGCTATCTGGTGGTATACCTTCTGATATTGGTAGCTTGCCTGTGCTTAATTATCTCGATCTTTCCTGTAACTCATTTTCTGGGCAAATCCCAATTCAGTTGCAAAATTTAAAATTGAATGCGCTCAATTTGTCAAATAACCAACTTTCTGGAGAGCTCCCTCCCTTTTTTGCTAAGGAAATGTATAGGGATAGCTTTCTAGGAAATCCCGGACTCTGTGGTGATTTTGAGGATCTTTGTCCGAAGATTGGTCGATCTAAACACCGGAGGTATGCATGGATTCTTATATCCATTTTTATACTTGCTGGCTTGGTTTTTGTTGTAGGGCTTATTTGGTTCTACATGAAGTACGGTAGCTTCAAAAAGAACAAGAGAAGAGTTACCATATCAAAGTGGAGATCATTCCATAAGATTGGTTTTAGTAAATTCGAGATTGTTGATCGCCTCTATGTAGAGAACGTGATAGGAAGTGGAGCTTCTGGCAAAGTTTACAAAGTCGTGCTTGATAATGGTGATACAGTGGCGGTGAAGAAACTTAACAGAGGTGTTAAGAAGGATGATTCTTTAAGTACCGATACAGAGAGAGATGAGTTTGAAATTGAAGTCGAAATGCTGGAGAAAATTAGACACAAGAATATTGTGAGACTGTGGTGTTGTTGCAACGCCGGAGATAGTAAACTTTTAGTTTACGAGTATATGCCAAATGGGAGTTTGGGGGATGTGCTTCATAGTAGCAAGGGAGGCTTGTTAGATTGGCCCACTAGGTATAAGGTTGCTTTAGATGCGGCCGAGGGATTATCCTATTTGCATCATGACTGTGCTCCTCCAATCGTTCATCGCGATGTGAAATCAAGCAATATACTGTTAGATGCAGAATTTTGTGCCAAGGTTGCAGATTTTGGAGTTGCAAAGATTGTTAAAAGGGTTGGCCAAGGGGCAGAACCAATGTCTGTGATTGCAGGCTCCTATGGTTACATTGCACCAGGTTTTTTCCTTATTGATGCTTGTGCATTTAAATGACTCCCACATTTGGTTTTTCCATTTTCATTTTGAATATTGAATACTTCTGGTGGTTCTTGGTTGGTTAATGATACTTTGTTATTCAATGCAATTTGATCTTTTCATCAATGTTATTTGCTCAAGATTCTTTTCTAAATTTTAGTTTTGGAGTTTAAATCCACCGTCTAATATGGAATTCTTGCTTCACCGAAACACATAGTTTAAGCTTTGATAAGTGACTGCATTGGCTTACTAACACAAACTTTGTTTTCGGCATTATGATCCCCTATAAAGAGTAGCTAGGAAGCTTTCTTGCAATCTCTATATTACCTCTTGTTTTTCAATTTGTTCATTTTTTTCTTCTTTCTACTCAGAATACGCTTATACCCTGAGAGTGAATGAGAAGAGTGATATCTACAGTTTCGGTGTGGTCATCTTGGAGCTGGTTACAGGTAAACCCCCATATGATCCAGAGTTTGGGGATAAAGATGTGGTAAAATGGGTATGTGCTACCTATGACCAAAATGGTACCAATCAATTAATCGACCCCAGAATGGACCTGACCTACAGGGAAGAAATTTGCAGGGTACTCGATATCGGTCTCCTTTGCACCAATGCACTTCCCATTAATCGGCCTTCAATGAGGAACGTGGTCAAATTGTTGCAAGAGGCTGTGGGGAGAACAAGTTGAAAACTGGTAAAAATCAAGGTAGTGTTGTATAAGTTTTAATTAGTTGAGTATAGAGAATCCCACTAAATTTTAGGTTCCTCCCTTGGGAGAGGAAATGGTATAGTAACTAGAAAGGGCACCATAATTATTGAAAATGCCCACTTTGGAATATATACCCTAAGTGACATTGGAAAGTGAATGGAAGTTATAGAATTCTGAATTTTGTTTCTCTGTTTGTGTAATGGCAAAGAATGCATTGCAGACATGAGATTTGTCACATTTATTCCCATAAGCGTCTGTAGTACAGTTGTTACCGATTATGTTAACCAAACCTGAGAAGAGAAGAGCTTACTTATGCCTTGAAAAGGCATTTTAGTTATTACAAAATCACTTTTAACTTAACTAGAATTGTTTAATTACTCCAACAGTTTGAGCGCCAATTGTTCAGGCTTTGCTCAGTGTTGGAGTTCACCGCACCCTGATGCCCTGCTGGTTCCGTGCCTAAAAAATCAACCAGATTTTCAGCATTCCCGTTGTCTGAGTGTAGAATATGAGAATCGAACAATGCAGTCGGAGCAAGGTTATGGAGAGATCCTGGATCCCTTGAGTCGAGATTCTTTTCACACGTTTCTTCTCCCACGTACAAACCGTTGGTGCTCAATGCATTAGTTCCTATGTTACTACCAGCCATGGAAGAACCTTCGTGGATGGACCCTGATGAGTTGATATTACTACTAGAGAATCCGGTGAAACCTCTGAGTACTATCGGGGCGATCGTGTTGTCACTGATCTTAGCCCCCATGGCTGCAGCTTTTTGTAGCAAGGCCGTGGCAGATGCGCAAGTTGACCCGATTGCAAGAGTAGATGCCAGTGATGTACTTGGATTGAAAATTTGATGTAAATTGCCGGACAGCATGACTCCAGTCGAGTTCAAAGATAACGGCCTTAGTGAACGGTTTGTGTTCTCATTCGAAACCGACAGATTCATCATCGTATTCGCATTGGAGCTTGAATCCGAGTAGGGCATTGATGAAGTAAACATCTCTTGTGCCTGCCTTTGCAACATTCCTTCGGTGGAGGCAAGGCCATGATTCCCCTTGTACTCTTCCTCGGTTAATGCATAACAAAAGGCTCTATGTGTGACAAAACTATCCTTCCTGCACAAGACCAAAGGAAACACAAATATCTATATCACCCTTCACATTTTACATAACCAAAACAATGGAACCAAAATGAAGCTCTACCTTGAAAAAGTCGTGCCGCAATCACAACGATATTCTCGGGTGCCACAGATCTTCGTGTGTGCCTTCCAGTCTGATTGAACAGCATACCGTTTGGAACACTTGTCACATTTCCATTTCTTTTCTCCATGCTTCCTGCAGAAGTGCTTCTTAATGCCGGTCAAGTCGCCTAGAGCCCGGCTCGGATCATGATGCACACAACTCGTTTCGGGGCATATATAAACCCTTTTCTTAACCTCTATACCTGTTCTTTGCTTCAGCTTCCAAGGCAAGTTATGTCCTCTTCTATGTAGTTGAAGGTTCTGATCTCTTTGAAACCCTTTATGACACACTTCACATATGTACCTGTTGATTGCCATTAGAGTCCTCGGAGATAATGCTACGACCTCCGCATTGGGATCTGAAAAATCACCAAGAGAGAGTCGAAAAACACGAAAAAGTGCAAATAAACTCGGCATTTATGTTTCACGTAAAGAACCATTTGTAGGAGCAAGAGAGAAGATATAAAGGTTTGCCTGCCTGGATTTCCTGGAAGACTTCTCTTCTTCTTTGAACTAGTGCCATGTTCAACAGGATTGGGACTCCCATTAGAAGATTGTGAGATGAAAGTTGCTTGAAATTGCTCACCTTTTTCAAAACCCTGAACAAACTTCGACATGTTTTAGCAGGCCTTGATATTAATCAATGTTATGAGTTAGAGGCAGTTTATAAAATATGAGAGGAGACTTGGCTAGCAGACAAAAGGAGAACGAAATTCCATACCAACCGCACACTCGAAGCAAAATCACGAGTTCGATTCGAATATAAAAGTTGACATTGAGAGAACTTGTCCTCGAAACAAATTCAACCTATCTCGATTCGAGACTTAATCAGGACAAAAAAAGGAAAGGGAAGACCATGGTCCATGCATGCATTGCAAAATAAGTTGGTCTGAATTCTTTGATAGCAACTTCTTCCATGTTAAAATAATATGAAAATAGACATTGTAAGAAGGGTCTGTTTGTCGTGTGTATGACCAAGTGAGGTCGTTGCATTAAATAACAAGTGATCTGTCAGCATTTGAATTGCAGGCGGTGGATCTTTGAAAGGTGTATTGCCGTTTACAGTTTTGGAAAAAAAATAAGAATTAGTTGAGAGATGTGAGGATAAGACAAAGGACAATGTAGAGGATGCCAAAGGAGAGATCCGTATAAAGGGACAAGTTTTGCCTTGTGTTACAATTATTTATGCCTACCTGCTTCCACTCATGCTTCACTTTCCATCTCTGTGTTTGGCATTCTTCGTTCTTGCTTTTGCTTTATACATACGGTTTGGTTCGTCCAAGGACGAAGACAAAATTATATGTTAGGAGACGAACTTTTAAAATTTTAGAATGGGTAAACTTCTAAAATTCTAGAGGGTGAAATCATATTTTCAATAAAAAATACATAGAAAAAAATCTAAAAAGTATGATAATTTTAAATTTTCAGGAAGACCATTGTCCCTGGACATCCCCTTCTATCTATTCCTGCCTGAGCTTACCTTATTTCTCAACGTTTTACCATTATCCCCTAAAGTTACTTGTTAAATAGGTACACATGTCTTTTATGTCTGAAAATGGGGAACCAATCCTTGAGTGATGATACCAACGGAGTATGAAAAATAACTATAACAAGATGTTGGGGAAATGATAGAACTGCGGTAAAAAAAAAAATTCTCTCCGTGTGACAATAAAAATGGGCACTCAAAATTTTGATTAGGTAGAAAACTCAAATTGAGAAAAATCGCAGGACGCAAATCTGGTATAAATTTATATTCCACTAGATGACTTAGGCCATGATATTTGACAACATGCTTCGAACTCTCTCTTCAATGGTTCGATTCATTCTCTCATCCACACCTTTTAATTACCATGTCCTAGGTAATTTTATATTTTTAATCTAATGATCATAATTAATAATTTATTTTAAATTATTTTTATTAACTTCATCAATCACAAGTTATTAATTTAATATACTTTTTAATATATTTATATTACAATTTATAAATATAAATTAATGACCACAGTTAATCATGTACCTTAAATAGTGAATAATTATTGTCACACTGTAATATCATAAATTCATAATCTCACAACTTTATCACTTGCAACGAAATAGTAAGTATCAGGTTGGATCAATATCATATCAGTTCAATAACAAGTCATATCATTTACGAGTTGAGTCAATTACAGGTCAGATTGATAGCAAATTGGGTAATTTCAATTATTTATCAGGTTAATCTCATGTTTACGTTCATATCAAATCAGATGCAGGTCAGATTCGGTTATCATATATTGAGCAAATACTAATGTGCAGGAAATCAAGAACATAATTTCCTCTATTCGATTTATAAGTTCGACGAAAACAAAACTCTATGTTGTTTATCAGCTAAACAATAGATGTAAGGCTCAAGTGTTTTACCTTTTACACCAGAAAGAAACTCTTTTCCAGTTAGGGTTTACGATCCTTTTTGGCTCATGTGACCTAACCTTTTATGCCACAACTCCAAGTATACGTTGTCAACATCAACATTGGTTTCTCTCTTGTGCAACTTCTCTCGCATTATATAAAAGTAGCGTTGCTTGCTTAGTTTAGATCAAGGAACTAGCGGAGGATTGTTCCTTCTAAAAAAAAATTAGATTCTCGTATAATTTAATTATTTTTTAACATAAAATACCACATAAATAATACCATTATCTCACGAAGAAAGTAAAAACTTTTTTTTATATTATTCTATACAAAAATATGTGGACCAGCTAAACCGATTGATTTTTTTTTTGTTTAAATTGAAAATTAATCTCCTTAAACACATGCATGATTTACATTTATTTATTTAAGTTAAATATTCAAATAAGAGTATAATATTTTTTTAATATTTTCAAATAAAAATTTATATTCTAAGATAATCAAATGCTTATGTACCTTATTAGTGTGTATATATTAAATATACTTATTATTGTTAATATAATTGAGTGTTATGTGTGTAATGATAAAGTACATTAAATTCCTATTAAGAGAATCAAGATTCAAATTTTGGAAATGGTTTTATTAAAAAAAGATCACGAGTCTAAAAATAGAATCAAACCCCAAATGTAATAACTCGCAATAAAATCAATGTCTACATCAATGAGGTTTCACTTAAAACATTTATTTCAAAACTTATATCTCGGACATTGTTAATGATTAAAAACTCTTCTGAACAAATACTACTTTATAACCGTCTCAGACTATTTGAAAAGAATTTATATGTCAAAATCTTAATTAAATACTATTTTGTAATCACTTTAGACTAATAAAAAAAACCTTATACGTCTAAGTTTGATGACAGAAAGTTGGCAAACTACATTACACTCCTAGTAAAATTAATTAAATTCAAACTTCAAAAATATTTTTATTGAAAGGAAAAAATTATAAGTCTAAAAATAGAATAAAATCCAAAAGGTAATGATTCATAACAAAATCAATGTCTACATCAATGAGATTTCACCTAAAACATTTGTTTCAAAAACTTATATTTCAAAGTTTGGTGAAAGAAAGCATACCATGTTAAAATTTCTTGTGTTTCATTGATTTTGCAAGAAAAAGTAGTGGTCTCAAAGAAATGTTTAGGTTGAATGATGAATACCAATCATTTTCATGATGTAATCTAAGAAAAATGATTTTTTTTGCATTTCAACTCGTAATGGAAATGGCCTACTAAAGTTGTGGTAATCTTATGTCAAACATCCTTAGAAATTGGGAATAAAAACAAAGAGTTGTGGGGGAAAAGAAAAGATATTTGTTAATAGCAAGTTGCTAACATACTAACGGAGAAAGTAACAAATCATAGATTGTTAAAATTAGTGTTATTCTCCTTTAAGGTTCTGGATTCGAATAACTAGTATATATAATATATGTGTATTATCAATAATTAAGAAAGATTACTCACAGCCCCCAAACTTTCCCTAGGTATTTATCCTAGAGACATCATACTATTCACTTGGTCCCAGTACCCGCACACCTATGCTTCACATAAACCTAGAAAAAAATCATTTACGTCATGGTATCTTCACATGCTAACTCAGGGTGAGAGGATGCAAAAACCCAACACTAGATCACTCAAACTATTAAAAGAAAACAAACTCTTCCTTTCTTTGAAAGAGCCTAATTTATTTGGGATAATAGCTATTTTTCTTATAAAAATATATATTGACTAAAACGTCACACGGCAGTTTACATATTGTTCTATAGATTTTTGTAAAAAAGAAACTTTGATATTGAGACACATTGAGAGTGTTCTATTTCTTTGTTCTTGATTGAACTCAATTGAACTTATCAAGTATTCTTTGTGGCGTTTATCCTATCTTTCGAACCTATCACTTTCCTATTTGTGTGTTAAAAGGAAATGGTCCCCTTTCTTATACAATAGAGTATGGAAATGTTTAATCGACCAAAATAAGTGTCCTTCCCATAAATAATACCCGAAATTTTACCGGGAAGACCACTCAGAGTCTATGAGTAGATATAATTTAAAAATGGTGCATTATAAAACAAGATAATGTGATTGTGGAACCAAAAACATCTTCAATAATAAATTAAGCACAACATAACCCATTTATGGATTCCATGACAGACATCATCTCAAACTACAATGTAAGAGTTGAATCAACAAATGGTGTTGATTGATCCTGAATTTGTACATGTAAATTTACACTTCAAATTACAACCAAAAAACGTTGCAACTCCCTCTCTAATTCTATATACAGCAGGCTTCAGGCTAGCAGCCATTATGATGCGGCAAAGGCACCGTTCGCGGTAGCTATAATGATGGTAATAGTGTCTGCTGTTGTCTCGATCGTGATAAACATAACGTAACTGCAATTTAAATTCCTGATAGCCAGTATCAGCAAAATTTCGTCACTGAAAGCTACGAGACATCCCAGAAATCTTAGGTTGAAGATGCTGCCAAAAGATCAAGTGATCTTTATCTTTTCAACATCTGAATCTCCCAATATATGTTAGCATCAAGCACCATACAAGTGTGATCAAAAGTGCAGCACCTCGCCCTCCTAAAAGCAGCCCTGCAAGAACAATCACTATCACACTCGCACTCAGATGCTGACCTGGTGACCCTCTCTCCACCTTTTCTTCTTTGACTCGTCCAATTCTGATTCCTCCCATTGAACTTGATCAGCCCTTAGTATCTCTTCTTCTTCTTCAAGCTCCTCCATTTTATGTATATCAGCTCCCCATTGATCCTCGTTTTTCTTCTTTCCATGTCTCAACTTCTTTGACACTAATTTCTTAATCAGATGACTTTTAATTCTTCCACTCCGGCTCAGTTCGTTCTTTTCCTTTGTCTCCATCTCCTCTACTTCTATCTGCGTTTCACCTGCGGAATCGAATTCCGATTCAAGAATCTGAATTTCCTGGACTCTATCATCTTCAAAATCAATCAACTCAAGAGAATCAGGGAGAACAGACGCTTGTTGTGCTGATGGTGTTTGTTTCCCTAAACCCAACAAACCCTCTCCGATCCAAGAACCCAACAAAATGGTGCAAGATTCCGGCGGCAAGAAACTAAAAACACTAGCCCCGACAAACTCTAATATCAATAGCGAGAATGCAGCAATCATGATCCAAAGCGTAAGCTGCCTGG